GTTGCAGCCATCATTGTTGTTTGGCGGGTCCGGGCTGGGGATTTGAACCCGCCACCTTAGGTGTACGTGGCTAGCGCCTCAGCCGCTTGAGCCACAGGCGCCGAGCCATAATGCAAATTTTAAAGGGTCTCTCAACCCTGTTTAGTTATTGCTGCCTTCCCAACTTTTTGGGAAAGAAAGGGAGGTTGGAAAGCACAGCATTTAAGACCTGTTTGTAATAAAAAGCCTATTTTCCTTTGTTACTGGGAATTTAGAAGACGCTTGTAGAAATAATGAAAGGTTAAATGTGCAAACACTGCACAGCTGTTATCTCCAGGGCAGGGCTCATCCCCACTTTGCTTGATACTCTGGAGCAGGCGCAGAAAGGGACAGACTTGCATCACGTGGGACCCGGCTCCCTGATACCTGATGTCTCGGGCTGTGCTGCTGGCAAGTAATAAGCATAGGAGAACCAGCGGGTACGAAGCGCTATGCTGGCAAGAGCAGCTAATTCCAGACAAGTGCAGGGGTTGAGGAGGCCACTCTCCTCAGGTACTGTTACCCAAGCATTGGAAGGACGCTTCCTTTTGTTTGGCCAGAGGCTTCTTGGGTTGGTCAGAGGACGCTTTGACAACCCAGGAATACAGGGTGGGATTGATTAAGATGCTGGATGTTTGTTCTTTCCCACAGATGGGTAATGCTCTCTCTCTGAGAACACCCAAGTAACAAGTTCTCTTACCAAGAGAACTGTCATCAGGTGGGATCAGGCTCCCGGATACCTGATATTTTGGCTTATGCTGCCAGGACACTCCACTGGGATGTATTCTGAAGCACTGGGACATGTTTGATGCCCAGATGTTGAAAAAAGAATGTATGGTTTTCTTCTGCACCCAGGCCAGGCCTCAGTATCAACTCTCCACTGGTGAACAATGGCCCCCAGAGGGTACTTTAAATTATAATACCATTTTTCAGTTAGATACTTTTTGTAAACAAGAAGAAAAGTGGTCTGAAGTGCCATATGTGCGAGCTTTCTTTTTCCTCAGGGACAACCCCCAACTATGTAATATCTGTCAGATTGATTCTGCTCTCCTGGCTGTAGTAACTTCCCCAAATGGTCAGGGGTTCCCCAGAGAGACGCTGTCACCACTTAGTTCAAACCCATCGTCTACTTTTTCCACATCTTCCTCCGTGTGTTCAGAAAACCCCAGGAGGGAGGCCGTCCCAGGAGTTTTTTCTGGTCATACTGGGACCCCCAGAAGGCAACCATATCCTTCATTGTGTCCCTTAGTGGAGACTGTAAGTGGTGAAAGGGGAAGTGCATGAGTATACACTTCATTTTCTCTGGCAGATTTGAAGCAAATTAAGGTTGATTTGGGAAAATTTGCTGATGACCCTGTGGGACAGATACCCCATGGGGAGACAGGCAGTTCCCTTTGAGGATGCCAAATGGGACCCTGAGAAACAAGGTGACTGGTGGTGTAAACATTTTCTAACATGTATCCCAGAAGGTTTATGTCGATCTAAGAAAAAAACCTATGAACTATTCTAAGTTGTCCAGCATTTACAAGGAACAAAATGAAAGACCCTCAGCCTTTCTCGAGCGGCTTAGGGAGGTGATGAGAAAACACACTCAGTTGACACCCGATTCCTTGGAGGGCCAAATTATTTTAAAAGACAAATTTATCACTCAGGTGGCCCCAGACATTCGAAGAAAACTTCCAAAATTGGCTCTAGGCCCAGATCATAACCTGGAGAATCTTCTTAAAATGGCCACTGTGGTGGCACAAGCAGACTGCCTTTCTCAGGTCATACCCTCTGGGCTCTGATAAGATCATGAACAAAGTAGCCTGCGATGATTTTTTGGGTGGTTCCACCTTGGGTAGAAGCACACACCCTAATCCCTTCTCAGGGACAAAGACTATAAAGGACCAACTGCCAGCCATGTGTAATACTCTAGACTTAAGACCCCTAGATAAAAGACTCCATGTGGAGACTCCCAAGAGAGTTCTTCAGTTCTTAACCTCTTCCAGAAGCTCTGGTGCTTTTTACTTCTTCTGTATGGTCTGTGGGTTCATTTGAATCCTCGAGACCAAGGACTACTGAAGAGCGAAATTGTGGTATCACTATGACACCATGGCACTCTACCAAGGGTGAAAAAGTGAGACTCTCTCTCCAAAAAACAAAAAAAGTCCACAAATTCTTTGATATGCTCCTGAAAAGGTGAAACCTAATTTCTCTCCCCTTGAGTGTAGGCTGGACTTAGTGACTCACTTCTGGCAGGAAGAAACAAAAGTGATGGTTTGCAACTTTGGAAATTAGATCATAAAAGGTACTGTGGCTTCCTCCTTGCTTACTCTTTCAGATCATTCACTCTGGGGAAAGCCAGCTGTCACACTGTGACACCTACATAATCTATACCAGGAAACAGAGGCCTCCTATCAAGAGCTACATGATTGAACCACCTTGGAAATGGCCTTTACATGACTGTAATCTCAGCCAACAGCTTGACTCATGAGTCATCCTGAGCTAGAACAACTCAGCTAGGTCACTCCTGAATTCCTGACCCACTGCAATTGAGATAATGATGCTTGGGCAGTAAAAAGAAATAAACATACACACTCCTTATGCAAAACGAAAGATCAAACCTGGAGGCTGAGTCATGGAACACCCTCTTCCAAATATATAACTCTTATAGCCAGATCCCCATGGGGAAGATAAAAGACCTTAGGTGTCTACTAAGGACTGACCTTAAAGACCACTCCTAAGGAAATTCTTTTTTTGAGACAGAGCCTCAAGCTGTCCCCCTGAGTAGAGTGCTGTGGCATCACAGCTCACAGCAATCTCTAACTCCTGGGCTCAAGCGAGTCTCCCGCCTCAGCCTCTCAAGTAGCTGGGACCATAGGTGCCCGCAACAGCACCCAGCTATTTTTTCATTGCAGCCGTCATTGTTGTTTTGGTGGCCCGGGCTAGGTGCCAAGCCTAAGGAAGTTCTTTGTTGGCTTCCCATAAGCAAGGACATTCAAATTGTAAATTTAGGCTCGGTGCCCGTGGCTTAAGGGGCTAAGGCGCCAGCCACATACACCTAAGGTGGCGGGTTCGAATCCAGCCCAGAACGCCAAACAACGATGGCTGCAACCAAAAAATAAATAGCCAGGCGTTGTGGTGGGCGCCTGTGGTCCCAGCTACTTGGGAGGCAGAGGCAGGAGACTCGCTTAAGCCCAGGAGTTGGAGGTTGCTGTGAGCTGTGATGCCATGGCACTCTACCCAGGGGGACAGCTTGAGGCTCTGTCTCAAAAAAAAAAAATTGTAAATTTTGATCTGCAGAATAAGTGTAGTTGCTTAAACAAAGTCTATTCAGTTGCACACTAATAACAGGTGTAGAACAGAGACAAGACAAGATCAATCATTCTTCCACCTACCCTGGGACATCTATGTAATTGATTCTTTCTTCACTTCCTTTGTTAGCCTTACCTTATGTAAAATGTAAATTTCTAAGATCTCAAAAGATTGTAACCTTTTGTGTCACTGGCAACCCCCTTCTCTTTTTTTCTTTGTTCCCCTTTAAAAATTGAATTCCCGGCTCAGCACCAGCCCCATACACCTAAGGTGGCAGGTTCGAATCCAGCTGGGCCAGCCGAACAATGATGGCTGCAACTGAAAAACAGCCGGGTGTGGTGGCGGGCACCTGTGGTCCCAGCTGCTTGGGAGGCTGAGGCAGGAGACTCGCTTGGGCCCAGGAGTTGGAGGTTGCTGTGAGCTGTAATGCCACGGCACTCTGCCCAGGGGGACAGCTTGAGGCTCTGTCTCAAAAAAAAAAAAAAAACAATTACTGGGGTCAGACCACCTGGTCTACCTGTAATTAGCTGTGTGATCTCTGGAAAGTTTGAACTTCTGTGCCTTTCTCTAAAATGCAGATAGCAGCAGCATCTATCTCAAATTATGTTGAGGGATCCATAGTACAGAGAACCTAGCAACTATAAAAGAAAACTTCAGAACACTCTTAATTTATTATGCTAAGGAGAGAGTTAGCCTTGGAAACTGAGTCATGTTTCTAATTTGTTTCTTATTCTCACCTTCCAATCTCTGATCTTTGTTATAGATAAACCGCCTCCTTTATTGTCCTCTACCTAACTCACACCAGATGGCGCAAAAGACCCCATGACAGTTACAGCTTCAATGTGCAATGTTAAACATACCTTAAAAAAAAAAAAAGACTTTCAGAGGCGCCGGCCACATACACCTAGGCCACCCGGCCCCGGCGTCCTAAGAACAATGACAACTGCAACCCAAAAAATAATAGCTGGGTGTTGTGGCAAGCGCCTGTAGTCCCAGCTACTTGGGAGGCTGAAGCAAGAGAATTGCTTAAGCCTAAGAGTTGGAGGTTGCTGGGAGCTGTGATGCCGCAGCACTCTACCCAGAGCAAGAGCTTGAGACTCTGTGTAAAAAAAAAAACAAAAAAACTTTTCCTGTGAATAAACTCATATATATATATGTGTGTGTGTGTGTGTGTGTGCATATCCACACACACTTTTTCTCTTATATATACACACATCCTAACCAGATTCTGACCCTTTTGGTAATTTTAGGTTGACGCACTGTACAATACACGTTATTATAATAAGAAAATATTAAGCCTTCAGAGTAGTCTACGACATTTAGGTAGAAATCTTGTCCAAATTCCTATCTTTGGCCTTCTCCCATTCATCTTTGAGACCTCTTCTTTATAGGTAAGAAGTATCTGTGAACTGGAAACGAGTTACCAGAGTAACTGAAAATAAACCGAAGAGTTAAATGCCATTCTTGCTGCTCTCTTTTAATTAAAAATCCTACAAAGACATACCCACTTGGACATTAATCAACAATTAGTAGGGAAAAGCTACCGAAGCAGTAACCTTAAGCAATGTCGAAAAGTTATCTTGACCAACATGGCTCTCTTCCCCTTAGGACCACTGTTATAGTTGCAGTCAGAGAAAATATTTTTATCAGGTCCTTCGGGTATTCTGTAGAAAATCAGACAAAACACAAACTATTCTCTTTAGTCCGATCATGAGCACTGGAAGTAAATCTCTCCCTTGATTTTTTTTTTTTAGGGTGATTTCTTCTTTTCTAGCCCCTTCTACTACAGAGTTCCAAAAAGCAGTTTTACACTATTCCAACCGCAGTCAGGAGGTAATATGGGGGTATAGGGGTTGGTAATGCGGCGCAGCCTCAGAACCGCCAACTCTGCCCAGGTGGAGTCGTACGGTCGGTTGGGGCGCTGGCCGGTGGCGGCCCGCACGCACCGGCGCTCAGCAGAGGCGAGTGCGCGGCCGGGGCTGCAGCTGGCGCTGGCGACGCTTGCGCTGGCCGTAGAAGAGCTTCTGAGCGATCTTGCGCTCGTGGCCGCCCGGTACCGGCCGGTTAGTGCGCAGTTCCTGTTCTCGCCGCGTCCGGCCCTTGCTGCGGCCGGCCCCGCAAGCTGGGAAGTCGCGTAGATAGTAGTAGTCAAGGCAGTCGTGAAGTTCATCCTCGAAGTTTACGGGCGGCTGGGCCGGAGGCAGAGCGCACTTAACGGCCGGACAGGAACCCCGCTCCATCGCACCCAGCAGCCAGACCGCCCGCCCGCGGGCGCGCTCTGGGAGGGCCATGTGGCCCCGCTCCACGCTCCGATTGGCTCCGCTAGGTGTAGGGGCGGGCCCCTGTGACGCCACAGAGTGGGCGGTACCACAGGTGGTGCCTGTGCTGTCCAGCCACTGCACCGGAGACCGAGTATCCAGGGCCTGTGCGCTGGGAGCCGGATAGAGGCGGTGGACAAACCGACCCAACATTACTTTTATGTCAAAAATAGAAAACTATCCAAGTGACCACAGTGAGGCTCTGTTTCATGACAGCGTGGGCCTGTGCATACCTCCGAAGGACTTTTATCAGCCACCACCATGAGAAAAGTACTCATTCACAAATGATGATAAAGTGCAGATGTACCTTATGAAGAAATACCTGTGTTATCCCAGTCATGTATTTTTAAAAGGAAATATGCCTATATAAAAGACCGAAAGGAAATTCATCAAATGTTAAAAGTATCTCCGGCTGGTAGGGCATGCATGTTTTACATTTGCTCTTTTTCCTTTCAACGAGTCCATTCCAATCTCTCAATAAGGAAGGAGGGCAGTGGAGGTGAAAAAGGCAGGCGCTGCCTGCAGCCAGGCGCGAACCGAAGGCGGGTCCGGCCCTGCCAGCCCAGCCTTTCGCCTCCTGGGAGGTGTGGTCCGTGCGCTGTTCCGGATTATCCGTGGGCCCCGACATCCTGCGGTCCTGCGAAGTTAAGCGCGACAGCTCGATGGGCCAGCTGGTCACGTGGCGAGGCGGCCGAGGGGCTGCGGGCCCAGCGCCTCTGCCCACCAGTCACAGCTGCCCAGGCCCTGGGGCTACAGGATAGTGTGCGCGACAGTAGCTGCAGCCGGGAGAGGAATCAGGCCAGGCGAACTGCGCTCAGACGAGTTCCAGTTCTCTCGCCAAATGCCACGCCGCGGCGCTGGATTCATTATACTCTGCGGCACCTCGGGCTCTGCGTGGATTCCCAGGTCTAATTACCTAATTACTGCCTCCCCAAACGCCGCTTCCAGCGGGTTAAGGCGAGGCAGGCCTTGTTTTGGCTTGGTTTGATGAGCACAGATAATTCTTGTCCCACAAAAATTCCAGCTACTCCTCGGAGATTTTCAAAAGATCAAAAATAATTCCCTGCTTAAAAAGAGGAAAAGAAACAAAAACTTGTCAAATATTTGATCATGTTGAATTTCTGTCTGTGACTAAGCTACGGATTTTCACCCTGGAGCCAGATCCCTGGCGTGGCCTATATACCACACCCTGAGGACAGTTTTGGTGGTTTCTGAAAGGAAATGAGTCCCAAGAGAGTGTTTTTAATAAAACACCCAGGGGATTTTTTTACTTCCACCCGCATGTCTTTTTTTTGTTTGTTTTAGAAACAGGTTTTCCCTGTATCGCCCAGGAGGCTGGAGAACATCTTTGCCTCCTTGACTTCCCAAAGTGCTGGTATTACAGGTGTGAGCCACTCACCTCACTCTACATTATCTCTTAAAAAAAAAAAAAATCTTTTTAAAATTTATGGTAATATTCAGACATTTAAAAAAAATGAAGTGAATAGAATAACGAACTCTTACATCTCATCACAGGGATTCAACGGTTATCAAGCTCCTGAAACATTTGCTGTTTTCTTCCCCTGCATCCTTTTAGATCAAATTGCAGACATTATGTCATTTCACTCCTATATATCTCACTACTGCTCCAAAAAAAAGTGGACCTTTTGCTTATATAACCACAATGCCATTTTCATACCCGACAAAATCAACTGGCCCCAGTATTATCTAATACCCAGTCCAGAATAGAATTGCTCTGATTGTCTAAAATACATCATTTCGCCACTGGTTTGTTCAACTCAGAATATATACAAAATCTATACATGAAATTTGCTTATATGGCTTTTAAGTCTCTTATATTTTAGAGCAGCCCCCAGCCCCCACCACCCTTTTAACTTTTCCCTGGTATTGACTTGTAGAAACTGGGTCACTTGTCCGGTAGAATGTCCCATTTTGTGGATTTGACTGCTTCTTTCTGGTATCACTTAAATTCTTCCTCTCCCATATTTCCCGTAAGTTGAAGTCGAATATAGGGGCTTGTTTATACTTAGATTCAATTTTGAGGGACAAAAAAAGCTTTTTAGGAAATGATGTATGGTGGGATCTCACTATGACTCCTTGTCCCACTTTTAGTGATGTGGGATCAGGTGACATTCTGACCTTGCAATTGTAAAGCTCCTCCTTGATTTACTTTTATCTAATGATGATGTCCAGTGTTCATTGCCTATTTGCTGTTACTTTCATTTGTTATTATTTCATTAAGGGGTTGTGGTAATTTTCTAAATCATCCCTTCTGCATTTATTAGTTAGAACTCTCTCTCCCTTGTGAACTATTTGATTAGCCTGAAATACCCTTTGACACGAAGGCAGGACAAATGCTTAATTCTTCCCTTTTAAAGGTGGTTTTTCAGGGGCTGTAATGAACTTTGTTTTTCCCCTTGAGAGTCATGAACTTTTGTAGCTTTAAAAAATACAGTCAATGTGTTTCAATTTTACTCTTTTGATGCTCAAATTTCCTCATTTTGGGGGCTTTTAGGAGGTCCTTCATGTAATTTCTCTGTTCTTTTGCCTTTAACTTAATGGTTTTGGAGAAAGTCCTTGCTTTTTGCCATACCAAAATGTCTAGGCTCATCCTGTACAAATATGCCTTAGACCCAGAATCAGCCAGGCTTATCCTGTAAATTTATGACTTAGACCTAGTATCAGCCATTTCTCCAAGGAGTCCTGGATCCTTTTGGTGTGGGGTATGGGATCTAGAAGCAACGGTCTTAGTGCTAAGTGTGTTATGTCCCTTCATCTTCTTGAATAATATTTACAGGAGTCCGTTGGTTTGGACTGAGCTCCTGCACCACGTCTAAAAGACCAAACCCAAATGGAGTCAAACATGCTGAAGTCCCATGGTACCAAGCCAAAACTTAGTTGTTTATCTGACTTTACAAGAAATCAGGAGAAAGAGAGAAACTAGCCAAATCTCTAAATAGGGCAGTGTTAGCTGGCATGATAAAGAAGTCCTTTGGGGGCCAGGCGCAGTGGCTCACGCCTGTAATCCTAGCACTTAGGAGGCTGAGGCAGGTGGATTGCCTGAGCTACAGGTTCGAGACCAGCCTGAGCCCAAGTGAGACCTCATCTCAAAAAGTAGCCAGGTGTTGGCTTGGCGTCTGTAGCACAGTGGTTACAGCGCTGGCCACATGCACTGAGGCTGGTCGGTTCAAACCCAGTCTGGGCCAGCTAAACAACAATGACAACTGCAACAAAAAATAGCTGGGTGTTGTGGCAGGTGCCTGTAATCCCAGCTACTTGGGAGGCTGAGACAAGAGAATTACTTAAGCCCAAGAGTTGGAGGTTGCTGTGAGCTATG